CAGTCAGACACGGAACCACAGACATGACTGAAGATATAATCAAACTCTTAGCTGACAACCGAAACATACATCACAAAATGTTGGATCTGCAAAGACAGTACCACAGTTTACCGGAAAGAAATGTGGATTTTGCGGCGAGACTGCACATACTAGAACAAAGGATGGAAATAATCTCTGCTAATAATAAGGTGTTTGACTCAAAAATATTCGAGCAGCAACATGCTGAAAAAAGAATTAAGAAGGATCTTATGTACAGATTTAACAAACTGAATGAAATAGTAAATAGGCTCCTGGCTGAACACGACATGCTCCCAGTCAAAACGTCAGAGAAACACCATCGCTCGTCTAAAAATAGTAAGACGAGTGTCAAAATCGCCAAAGAAGAATCAAAATTTCACAAAATCAGCAAAATACTAAAAAACACCAAAGACATGATGTCACATAAAATAAATAAGATGAAGAAGAAAGTCCATCGGCATCCAGACTTAATCGAGGACGACAAATTCGAAGTCACTAATAGTGAGGAATCAGAGGAGAATTTAAAAGCCGAAAGTCCCAAAAATATTTGGAACGAGGAGGTAAAAGCAACTCATTTCCATTTTGTCTAAAGTCCTAGAAGTTTAAACAAAAATTCAAGGGAAGTTGCCTTGTCATCTGGAGTAGTCGGGCAGAATTTACTAACGTTTCAGAGGTACTTGGGTCAACATGTACACAGCAATACCCCTAAAACGTCGGTAAACTTCTACCAGACTACACAGCTCTACAATCCATAAAATAGACCACCTTCTTACTTACCGCTGTAATAACCTCAAATCTCAGAACTTCGTAGACTTCGTGAGACAAAAAAACCAAGCAGAAGTATTACGGATTGAATACGAGAAATTAAAATTAGTTTACGTAAAGTTTTAAGTGTTGCAGAAAATAAAATCATATTAAGTTCTGGGAATACTTGCTTCCATTCGGTTCAGAACATCACACTTTATGGTCTGCGATGTACCAAGAAATTTAACAGGCGTAAAGATAAAAATGCACAAGAACATTAATTTTTAACTGTTGTTCTGTGACATTAAGAAAATTCTTCTTGGATGCTACAACGTATATTCTATATTATCGAGTGTCCAATAATAGTATGTTGAGGAGAACATTTGACGTAACGGGAGAGAGGGTGTTAAAATTGTATAATCAGGAGCTGCATAGTTTGTACTCTTCATCAACTGGTATTAGAATCATACACCAAGGAGGATGAGATAGGTGAGACATGCAGAACACATAAAAGATATTAGTCACCAGTGCTGAACTTTCTTTAATATGGCAGTGAGAGTTAGAATTTCCTAAAAGGCATAACATTTTTCCCCGGATGAGCAACTAATAGCTTCTGAAATGATGTGGTCCATCGAGTTTATCAGTGGACATTCATGTGCATTTCTATTAGGGATTTCTTTAGCCTGTTCTTAGGTATCGTCCTATTTCTTTGTTGTCCATAACCATCAACTGCAACTTGATTTGAGGTGGCACATGACAAACCTTCTCTTCTCCTTAAAAACCTGTTTAAACTTTGAAAATGACACTTAGTGCCAAAAGTGTTTTGACCTCAAGAGGTTATCATTCTCTTTTCCAGAATCAAGCTAATCCCGATGACCACAATGCTCAGAACTCATCGAACACCCACGACAACCAGGAATCTGTCTCTAATGTCACACACAACCAGACAATAAATACCCCTCATACAGATGAAACACCAGCAGTTAACAGCAAAGAAGCCAAAATGTCACATCCGCCTGGTATACGACAAAATATGTATCATTTAACAAAGTAGGATGTAAAATGCTAAAATAATTATTAATAAAATAGAAGTAGAAATGTTAAACAGATAAGGGTAACAGAATTAGGTATGATGAAGTCTGATCTAAATTCCTCTTATGTTGTTGCAGTGGGATTTTTCAGTTTGGTTATGATGTGAGATCTTGAAGTCTGGGGTTGTCGATACTGTTTTTAATTACGTTATGTGGATGTAGTTCAATACTGAAGAAACAGACAGATGTGATACATATTCCTTAACTGTGGTTTAAGATCAGCTGTTCAGACTCATCTGCCATATATATACATATATATATGTAATCCTGGGGTCTCGGGTTCGATTCCCGGCGGTGCCCGAATTTATAACTTGTGTTGGGCAAGGCCGTGGTCTAGGCAACACGGAGTTTTCCTCCGTGGCATCCCAACAATTACTCCATTCACACACAGAAGAAGGCAATGGCAAACCACTCCTGGATCATCTGCCAAGAACGTATATGAACAGGTCCCAATCCGAGAAAAGGATGGAAGGATCCTGTTCATATGGACCTGTCATCAGACAAAATACTACAAATAAAAATATATATATATATATACAGGGCGATTCAAAAGGGAGAACAACTTTCGAATAGGAGAGTCAGTCGAGGCCGTTGAAGGTAAAGAAGTCTGATAACATACCGCTGAAATAACCATACTTTGCTATTTTCCTACTACCTTAATTTTGTTTTAGGACACCAGTCACTATCAACTCACAAACACAATGTAAACAACCCAGGGGCCTCTGTAGAGTCTGACGGGATACGTGTGAGTCAAAATTAAGCTATTGTCCGCGAGCCACGAGAGCAGACTTGACATCTTTGAGGGAGGTGGGGTAGAATTCAGTGCTACTAGCGGATCGAAAAAGACCCGCAGTTTATACAGGCCGTACGTCGTGAGCTAATGTACTGACTGACTGACTGACTGATAGCACGATGTTCTTAGGTAAGGAATACATCACCAGCGCATGCGCGGAACCCACTTTCCCCCTGTCACACAAGCAACGGCTGACAAGGCCACATCTACTCTCGTAGCTCGCGGACAATAGTAGGAGAATAGCAAAGTGCGATTATTTCAGCGGTATGTTATCAGACTTCCCTAAATCCAATGGCCTATTCATACAGACAATAAAGAAACTTCATAAACTTTGAACGAGACCATCATTTGTAGTGATTTTCCTCCCTAATTATAATGGACACTCCATTCAATGGGTGAATTACATGGTTTACTGTGTTAATTACTTTAATAATGCATGCGAAATAAGGGTAGGTTACCCTAGAACATGCCTGTAATCATTATACTTTGTTACAGCTGATACTTCAGGGTCTGACCTTCCGAAATTGAAAGACTTCAAACCACTGAAGTTTTTAGGAAAAGGAGGTAGGTATAATTTTCCATTAATACTTGCCAAATTAGATGTGAATATCTTTGCTGATAAAATATGGGCCTGATTCTCCAAAGTAAACAAATTGTGCACTTTGTTTGACTAGGTCAGGCACCCTCTACAGAAGTTTAAATGCATTACGTACTATAAGAAGTACAATTATGAAAAGATCACAGAGTTAAGTTGGATTTTATCTTGTGTTACCCTGTAAGGGCGTTCATAGGAGTTACTTGAAATTATATGTCCTAGTCATTCAAAACCATCACTATCAGATGACGAGAAGTGCTCTTGGTACGTTTTGAATAGCAGGCTACTAAGGAATGCGTATCGACAAAAGAACGTTTGATATTACATAGAAGTTTAATATAGAATTCTGATCCTTATGATAGGGGAATCCACAAATATCAGAGGTATTTGTTGAATAGATAACAACATTAAACATAATTGTGTACTGTTACAGCATATTCAACGGTTTACCTAGTTCGAAAAAATGGTGGTATGGATGATGGTACATTATATGCCATGAAGACCCTGCCTGTCTCCAGGGATGAGTATGAAAATAGTAAACCTAAAAGGTACTTTGCGGAACAGAATGTACTCGAAAGGCTTACCGAAAGTCCGTTCGTGGTGAGACTACACTACGTTTTCCAGACACAATCAAGCCTGTACCTCACACTGGGTAAGTTCATCAAAAACCTATTCCTGACTGCATAACATTTGAGAAGCGAAGCGAGGGTTGGCAGAAGGCTGTTAATGAAACAGGATACATACAAAATATTTTCATTATTTTAAATAGACTACATTACAGTAAGGAATATATTTATACAGGTCCTTTAATTAAGGTGCAAGTATAAATACAGCAATTAAACATTTCAGTTAACTATAAGGCCGGGCGCAAACGGAGCCACTAGTGGCTAAACACGACCACTAGTGGTCGCCACTTTATGCAGACATTTTCCCCAACCGCGCGTCAGTAGCACAATGGACTCCGATATGGAAGCATTGGTCGCAATACTAATAATACGACAACGCCGACGTAAACGACGACAAAGACATCCAATATTGCGAACTCGCAGCGAATACGGCCATTTTGCTACGCTTTTTGAGGAGCTAACGAGGCACGAAGATAAAACAGAATGCAATATTGAAAATAAATACTTACGCGTTGACCTCGCCACTTCGCCGGTGGATTTGCAAAATGAACAAATATAACCTATAGTATGCAACACGAGACGACGATGGCGTATGTTTGGGGTGCTAATGATCACTGGCAATGCAGGAAATAAATATGAAATGTGCAGTTTGGACATCGATGACCAGCTATCCACCATTAGTACATTCCTGTCACCTGTATATATGTACGCATACAATGTATTTATAATAAATATGTGTATCAATATACAAAAATCAACAAATATTAACTCACCCGCAATATTTTTTTCTTTTATACTCTTCTCCTTGAAGTTGGCAACAAACAGTTGGCAGACTTCTTCCCAGGATTTTGTTTTCTCTGTCCTGTTGCTGTATAATTCAGACCGCAAATCCCAGATAGCTGGGCGGGCCTCAATTTCATGGATGAATAATTCAGTGTCGAATGTCTCCATGGCGTACATACACTCTGGTAACGCACAGAACAGCAACTGACCTGGCTGCCCTGCCAGCTGTGTTGAGGGTAGTGGGTGGGGAGCTAGGGTTTTTTTATGACGGACGCTAGTGGCTACGTTTGCGCGGGATAAACAGTGGTCGGAGGCAGCCACAAGTAGCGAGACACGGCCACTACCGCAGCGAGTGGCCCGGTCGGGCCACTACGAACGCCGTGTCTGCGCTGTCTATTAAAACTCCATACAAAATATAGTCCGCAGCTTGTGGCGACCACTAGTGGCTCCGTTTGCGCCCGGCCTAACCTTAGCAAAAATATTCCTTTTGAAATATAAGGGGCACAGCACCTATAAAACACACACACACACAGAAATTTATTCTGACAAATATGGAGATAAAATCATTTGTGACTAATTAAAAACTTATTTTAACTGTTAACTACCGCCAAGAAAGTATTAAAGGTTAGGCACAATAACTTAAGCAATAAAATTCATAACAGATTAGTCGACATTTTCGCTTTACTAGAGCAACGCGCTCCTTTCGGAGCGCTTTCTCTAATCTGATATTTTACTTCTTTACGTCGCTGTTCAGAGGCCAACTGTTCTTGGTCAGTCAACTTTCTACGTCCAGCTTCACCTTTGCAAATCTTCGTCTTAAAATCGATCATAAAGTCAGTTTTCATAACAGTTTTCTTAATCGTAATATATCGAATGAGTAACAGTTTACCTTGTTGGAGTTGGTACTTCAAATAGTTGATAACGTCTTCTTTTACTTTTCTGATGTTTTAGGCCAAATGTTAGTCAATTCTCAAGAATGAGATGTGCTGCTCCTGGAGCAGTGACATGCGACTGGCTTGATAGTTTTTGATCTCTTTGTTGTGTTGTCATTGTCATTTTTTGACGAAACGACGACAAATCACAATTTTTTATAGTAGAATAAAATGTTTATGCACTCAAAATGCAGGATTCAAGCAAACAGAATATGTATTAAAAGTTACAAACCAAAAAATGCATGTTGAAGGAATATTTTGTGATGTAAAAGAAGCTTCTGACTGCGTAAATCATGACATCTTGTTGGGTACATTACATTTTGTTGGCATTCAGGAAACTGCTGTGCACTTGTTTGGATCATACCTTACAAAAAGAAAACAAAAGTGGAAATGAAATTAACTAGTGCAGCTCCAAATTTATTCTCCAAGTGTGCAACAGTGACACAGAGTTCTCCTAGGGTCAAATTTAGGGGGTTAAGTTTCCGTAATTCAGACAAATTACCTTCCTTCAATAATAAAAAGAACTTGTCAGAATCCATAATATTCACTGTGTCATAATTGTAATACAAATGTTAATGATTTCTGTACATTGGCAAATTCAGTTCTCTCTCACATGAGTAATTGATTCGCTGAGAAGAACTAAGCCCTAATATCAAATGACAAAATTAATAAGACTTTTTAACAAATAATTCACCATATTACATATTAAGTATTAAAAATAATGTAAAATATATAGAAGAGTAAGCGATCAAACATTCCTTTGGTCTATAAACTGATAACCATTTGAATTGGAAGAATCATTTTGATCAAACTGATCAAATGTTTCCAAAGCGAAGTGGGGCATGTTATGCAGTTTCATCAATGTTTTTGGTCAGAGAGGTCTTATAACAAGGTTATGGGACAGTTACAAAAAAAACTCGTCACATAAGACCATCTTTATGAAATTGGTTATGCGAGTAGAAGATCAGCATAAATGTATATAACAGTAAAATACGTTCCACTGCCAGTTAAATGTTTTTAGGACATGCAAACCACGGGAAGAAGGGTGGTGGTATTGTTTACATCACCTCTCAAAGATCGTGTGCTGGGTCTTGCTAGGGCTGCAGGTATTGTCTCGCAGAGATGTACAACACAACTGTGTGTAAAGATTCTGGTTCATCCCCAAATGAGGGAGAAATCCACTGCCTGTGTGTACAGTAACTTTCAGTTTTGAGTCTTCTGCAACGTGTCACTTAGCAGTAACAAAGTGAATATACAAGACGCAGTAATATTCACTGACCTCTAATATTACTAAAGTCCTTACAATAACAATATTGTGTTATTATTTTTCCAGACTATTACCCAGCTGGTGACCTTGCTGGCTTGATATATAAGATGGGCCACCTTACAGAGAGTGATGCACAGCTGTACCTAGCCGAGATAGCCCTGGGCATACAGCATCTTCACGAGGTAAGCACACTGTTGCAATAAAATATATAATAATGCAGATTAAATCCTTAAAGTACTTAATTAATTAAGCCTGGTGGGTTTGTGTGTAATCATTAACAATCTGTATGACAATTTAGATAATATGACATACCAAGAAAGCAAAATAATGAACTATATCTCACTACCACATTAAGAAAGCAACATGTTCCATATTTTATTCCACTGAGCAAGGAATTTGATAATTTCTTACAGAATGGTATAATCCACCGCGACATAAAGCCAGGAAATATACTGTTTGATGCTTGCGGTCATGTCGCTATTGCAGATTTCGGAGTTAGCGCATATTTCACCAGTAATACGGTAAGTTTAATATCCGCATTATAGTTTGTTGTGTTTGCCTGTGCCTTAATTTGAATAAAGAGTGTTAATTACAAGTGTTTTGAAAAAAGGCAATACTGGAAACTACGAGCGAGTTTAGTTACTATGTAGGCCTAACAATAAAACTTCTGGTTTAGACAGGGGCTAGTTCAGATAAGAATATCTGTGGTCCATACACCTCGTCCTGTATTATTTTAGGGTATGAAATTATGGGGAGCCGGCCTAGCTCATTCGGTATAGTGACTGGCTACAGACTGTGCGACCAGGGTTCGATCCCCGACGGGGGCAGAGGATTTTTCCTCTAGCCTCTGGGTCCAGACCGGCTCTGGGGCCCACCCAGCCTCCTCTACAATGGGTACCGGGGTCCTTTCCTGTGGTTAAAGCGCTGCCGGGGCGTGACGCTGACCACTCACCCCCATCTAGTGCCGGGGTCAAGGAAGAGAGGAGCTATACCTCCACTCACCCGTGTAGTGGGGCAGCTTTATGAACTTAAGGGAATTACAATGGGCCAGACATATGAGTGTGGAAGAAATGCTACAGAATATTTGAGGGAGACATTCATGGAAAGTGCCAATGTGTAAAATCATAAAATGGATGTTACAGAAATAGGGTTTGAGGGAGTCTCCGCTTTTAGCCACGCTCAAAGTTTTGTTTATGTTACCAGACAGTTATTTTATAGTTGATTTATGTTTCAGATCCCTGTCACAGTTATTTAACATGTTTTCATCAACAGGTAAAAATTGCTTTTGATAAGGCCGGCACAAAGCAGTACATGGCACCCGAGATGATCAAACGCAGTGGATACAGCTTTGTAAGTATCTCATACCATGACAGTAGAAAAAAATGGTACATGAGCATTATTAAAATGTATACATCCCATAGAAAATAAAAACACCAAATAAATGAATAAAGAGGAACATTTCTAATAACTCATTGCAATAAATAGCACTAATTAACTCATAACAGTTCAAAATGAATGAACCAAATGCAGAGCAATTCTATGAGTTCTCAGAACCCTGCAAAAATGATTTTAGCTAGTCTATGCCTGTTTGTCCACATGTAAAATTTTGAGAATCACATTGCAACGCCATGTAATCTGCTAGGAATTCACCGTCGTTTCAGAGGCACTTCCTGCCTCGCTCATCTCTCTGATGATGTAAGCATCAAGGACCTCTGAAACGTCGGTAAACTTGTACCAGACTACACGGCGCAACAACCCAGAAGACCGCCATCTTGATACGTGCCACCAATCCTATTTCTATCGTAATAACATTAGTTAATAATCCTGACACATGGCTGATGTCATTGAATGTTAAATAAAATGACAGTATCAATGACTAATAAGTTATTTTTAATATTCTGACTAAGTATTCAGAGTAAAACCATAAAAGAGCTAACAGTCTCTGTCTAGAAATCAAAATGATACATAAAACAGATAAAATGAAGAAAGAGTATTTATCATACACAGGAATATCCAACATAAACCTTGAGGCAAGAAATTAACAACGCAGTTTCTAGCACAGTCTTTCTGTTTCGGAAGCCCCTTATGAAAAAATGTAAGAGTGTGAAGAAATTAAAATGACTATGACTGTTGACCCTAATTTGAACTGTTGCAGGAAGTGGACTGGTGGAGCTTAGGCATAATCGCATATGTAATGATGACTGGGCACAAGCCTTTTGTATTTGAGAACAACGATGTGCCGTCACTCCATCGGTAAGTTCTTCGTGTTCACAAAGAGATCAGATATATGTGTTCACTGTGAACATTATTTTCCTTTGAAAAAACAAATTTCCAACTTTGTTTAAAACTAACATGTGACTGTCCATTTTAATAATAGTAAAATAGGTGCAATCATTTAAGATATGTCGAGAATTAACCTTAGGCAAATAAACAAAATGGAATCACAAGCATTAAGAAAGCAAGTGTGTGGAGGATCAGGGAAGGAAAAGGTTCCAAAAGCTGAAAAGTAACATATTTTGACATATATATGATTTGAGGTTTTCACAGCGGTGAGTATGAAGATTTCTGTATTCTGGGTTGTTTCGCTGTGTAGTCTGGTCGATGTTTACCGACGTTTCAGAGGTCATACTGTCTCGGCCATCGTCCTGATGATGGAGGCAGTATGGCCTCTGAAACGTTGGTAAATATCTATCATACTACATGGCATAACAACCCAGAAGACAAAAATCTTCATATTTTGACATGTTTAATTTGGACCACCTTCCTTGTCTCCTGTATGACCTGCCTCGGACATCACCATACAAATTAAACTGTGACCAGACCAATTATAAAAAATGTGAGAGGCGTTATAAACACAAAATCTCAAAGCAAGTTTAAGAAGTATGTTTTGAATAACAAATACAAAAATGGCTCTTTCTCTTACAGACAAATTTTGGAGAAAGAGCCAAGGTTCCCAATGCACGTGACTTCCAAAGCAAAGAATTTTATCGAAAGTCTATTGAAGAAAAATCCATCAAAACGATTAGGGGGACTGACAGGCTCTCCGCTGGATATCAAGAAGGATCCCTTCTTCAAAGTGAGTTATATTCAAATTATATATTATCATACAATAACGTATAAATGTGCTTCATTTCCAAGCTGTGCTTTGTCCATGTAATGTACTAAGAAAATTAAACAGAGTGCGAACAGGCTCAGATTTCTGACTCTGTTTCAAAATGTCATTAAGTGGAAAATGTAACTTACGTGCCCTGCGGAACAATTTGTGTGTAAACCAATGTCATAGGCGTAACACCATCAGTACACATATAGTAACATCCAGGTAAAAAATTACATAAATATAATGTCACATCGAGGTTTCGAAACATCCTCCTTTTTACGGTGCAAGGTCCGTAAAAAGGAAGATGTTTCGACCGAATACGGACCGGAGAGCAGAAGAAGAAGAAGGAGAAGAGGAGGGGGAGGAAGAAGAAGAAGAAAAAGAAGAAGGGGTAGGGGGAGGAGGAGAAGAAGAAGAATAAGGAGGAGGAGGAGGAGAACAAGGAGGAGGAGGAGAAGGAGGAGGAGGAGGAGAAGAAGAAGAAGAATGGGGAGGAGGGGGAGGAGAATAAGGAGGAGGAGGAGGAGAATAAGGAGGAGGAGGAGGAGGAGAATAAGGAGGAGGAGGAGGAGGAGAAGAAGAAGAAGAAGAAGAGGAAGGAGAAGAAGGAGTAGAAGAAGAAGAAGAAGAATGGGGAAGAGGAGAAGAAGAAGAATAAGGAGGAGGAGGAGGAGGAGGAGGAGGAGGAGGAGAAGAAGGAGAAGAAGAAGAAGAAAAATGGGGGAGGAGGAGGAGAATTATTATTTCAGTGGGACCTCTTAGTACATACTTTAAAACTGCTAATAAATTAATTCAAAACTTGAAGGCTTTATTAGATACCATCAAATGTCCCTCCCAGCAAATGCAATATTGTTAAATAACAAAGCACAAATCAAAATTTACAGCCAAGCAGAAAACTACATTTCAGAATCCTTGTAATTTTTCCACAATTGAGCAGTCTTTAAACTGGTAAGTTCTTACTTGTACCTTGTCATACTTAACTCTGCAATCAGCAACTGTGTTTTATCCTACAGAAAATCGATTGGGAACGCGTGGCAAGAAAAGAAATCAAGATGCCTCCTCTGCCACAAGTTAATTCTGACAACAACAATGATTTAGTTGAACAGGATAGCAGCTTGGTGGGTTTGTTTGAGAACAGCTACAATGAGGTGAGAGAAAATACTCTTGACATTTTATTATACTTTGCATAGTGCTTCTACTAATATTAGAACAGGTGTTAGAAGTTGAGGGCTCCATAGCCTTGAATGCATTACAGTAATTAAAAATGTTGTGATTTTCCTTAGTCCTTAGATTTGAGCAATGTGCATACAATGAGACTAAATATTAATACTACCATATCCATAAGAAAGCTTTGGACATAATCAGCAGTTACTGCCAAAATAATTATGGTTATGGTGAACTTCAATCTATATAGCAATAACATGAGGGTTATCAACCCCTGGAAATATATCTTACGACTAAGGAAACAAGCCTACAATTAATTAAATCTTCTCGGGCAATCAGCCGCGTTAACTGGTTACCGTAGTAAACCGACGTTTCGGAAACCAACTCTGTCCCCATTACAGGATTTTGATGTGACTAGATAACTCGGAAGATTTTATTGATTGTACTCGCCGCGAAAGTCTCAAATTCTGCCTGTGATTTGCTTAAACTAACCTGAACTGAAATGATGGGGTCAATTATTTTTTTAAGAATTTCTTTCACTGACAAAAACAAAATTAAAAAGTCCATAACCTGTATCCACTGAAAATTTACTGTGCCAGTGTTATAAAAACAGACTCAAACTTTAAAGTCTGGCATAAGTACAATACGTTCTGAGCATCAAGTGAATTACAACATTTTGTACAAAATGGGTCTGGAGAAATCTTTCTGAGCTACAACATTCTCTTAATTCCCAGAATTTCCTCAAAAACTCAAATGTCCTCTGTGACTTCCCACATTTCTGTGTATTGTACAACGCACCCAAAGATGTTGGAAATTCTAATTTATTTAAAAGAAGACATAATTAATATATCATATTATGTGCTAAATGCAAGACTTAACATTCATAAACTTAGCAAAGCTCTTATAAACCAAACTCAAGACAATTATACCTCTGCACTGAGCGATGAGTGATCAGTGACATGCCACTTATAAGTTCCAGTACATTTGAATTTATTTACTTAATTGTGGCTTTTGTTAACTGGTATTGCAGGTATGCACATACGTAGCCCCTGCCCACAAGACTAAATGAAACATCTAGAAGAAAAATTCTCAGGAGTTCCAAAACATGGTAAGTAATAATATTATCTAACGAACTAACTAGATGGCTTCCCGAACCCGAAGGTTCATCACCGAATTAACCAAAGCCATCCACCGGACCCTGTCCTGGGCCAACAAAATCCAGTCTCCTTCAACTCCTATCTCCCATAGATCCCGCCTGAGATTATCCTTCCATCTAGGTCTAGGTCTCCCCAGCGGTCTCTTCCCCTCAGGCTTCTCAACCAGTACCCGGTGCACACCTCTTGTCCCATCCATGCGCGCTACATGCCCCGCCCATCTCATTCTTCTCGACTTAATCACCCTGACAATAAGTAATAATATTATGGCTACATTTATTTATCAAAAGTTGTGTGACTTTATAAATGTTACATTAATAGGTACATACAAGCACATCAGAGATATTTTACCACCTTCAACTTATTTCGAAAGGCATTATTATGTCATAAAGAGGTTGTGTACATTTTATGAATTGTCACAGGAGGATGAGACATACCAAGGGTACATAACTCACGGTTCCATGACAAAACCGCACACGACAAAACCGAACACGAAAATTACTCACACGTACGAATGCTCACATGGACGAATGGCCATATTCACAATCGGTTTACTACGGAATGTGTACTACGGTAAAAAATCAACGCGGCTGTTTGCCCGAGAAGATTTTATTGAATTTGATCCCGAAACGTCTGTTTGCTACGTTAACCAGTTAACGCTTCTGATTACTTATAGTATTGTGAATATGGCCATTCGTCCATGTGAGCATTCGTACGTGTGAGCATTTGTCCTTGTGAGCATTTGTCAGTGTGAGCATTTGTCCTTGTGAGTATTTTTCCGTGTGAGTAATTTTCGTGTGAGCATTTATGTCAGTGAGCTTCCTTCTGTGCGCAATTTTCGTGTGCGGTTCTGTCGTGTGCGCATTTGTCTGGTCACCATAACTCACAACTAAAATTTGTACATTTAATATTCAAACACATTCAATATATTTTAAGCTGTTGTTATTGAAGAGGCTAAATGACAGAAATGCAGGACATATTTTATGTTTGTCCACATTCAACAGTGTGAATTCCTTATTATCAGGGGCAAGCTGTAGTTATTCTTGCGGCAGGTTAAGACTATGCCTTTGTGGAATTGTAGCCACTAGCAGGGCTATTTTCCATTCCCCAGATAATACACGAGTAATTATGCAGCAGCAATTGAATGATATTGACAGTATAAATGGAAGGACTCTGACAGGAACCTGTCCCAGTGCAACTTTGTCCACTACACATTTCGCATGGACTAACCAAAGCAGAAACCCGGGGTTTCATGTTAGGAAGTGGGTGTCCAACTGCCTGAGCTACGGCATGGTCGCCAGCTGTTACAAACATCCTGCAAGATATGTGGCATATTCTAAAATTTCTATGCTCAGCAGCTAATAAATTACGTTATTTTAAAAATGCATCTCAGAAAGAGCAACAGGGGATCATCACAGGACCGACGTGTGCTGGCAGTGAACCCCTTGGTAACGAGACCGCTCATGGCAAACCAGAAGTCCACAAGGAAACTGAAGAATAAAGCATGCCATGACACACAGGAGCAGGGCCCCTACACAGACACATACGTGTCAGCTGAGAACTTGTCAGGATTACACCCGCCATTCAGCGTGAGCTGCAGTGAAGAATTTAAGTATCCATAAGTTGTGACAGTATATGGACTCATAGTTTCTCAGAAATATACTGCCCCAATCTTGAACACTGTATGGATCTCCCCAATGTCTGTCTGTTAGCCCCTCTCAGCCACCATTTATACAAAAAAAACCTAACCTATGTCCCCCCCCCCAGCAGGGGCGTTTCTCTCTAAGACTTAATCCCATTCAGCTTAGCCCAGTTTGGGGCTTTGCCCACAAGGCTTGTTTCATGCAGCTTTGCCAACCTATCCCCTCCCCCACAATATTTTCTCCTCGGGTTTGCAAACCCCTGGGAGTGTGTTGGAATTTTAACCCTTGGGGTGTTAAAACCCAAATTCGATCATGCTTGGAAGGGTACATTGAGTGTGTTCCCAGGGGGGAAGTCCCACTGTTACCCTGGCCTGGGTCATCTAACCTCAGATTGTAGAAAGCCAGGGATTCCCAAGACTGTGAGGAAAAGATTATGACAAGGATAAGCTTTGAGAAGCAATCTCTGAGGGCAGAGCCCCAAAGTGAAGCAAGCTGAAAGTAACAAAGGTTTGGAGAAAAACAAAACCTGCGCCATAATAGAATTTCAAGAAACATGAAAATTATTTCTATTTAACATAGGTACTTGCGTCTACATAAACGTACTGCTTAATGGAGGCAAAGATTTTATGTGGAAATATTTAATGTTGAAAAGGTAAATGAACAGAAAGAAAAGTTTGTATACACCCTCTTATATTCCTCTTCTTCCATCTAATATAACAAATAAAAACATTTATAAATGCATACATATATTATATATACATTTATAAGAAAAACACTGCCAGTGCTAATTTAAGTTGGAAAATATACGCATAAATAAGAAACGTTTTAAAACAGTGGTCAAGTCAGTTGTGGCTTCTATAACTAGATTGCGTCCCTGTCCTGGGCCAACAAAATCCAGTCTCCTTCAACTCCTATCCCCCTTAGATCCTGCTTGATATTATCCTCCCATCTACGTCTAGGTCTCCCCAGAGGTCTCTTCCCCTCAGGCTTCCCAACCAATACCCGGTGCACACCTCTTGTCCCATCCATGCGCGCTACATGCCCCGCCCATCTCTTTCTTCTCGACTTAATCACCCTGAGAATAAGTAATAATATTATGGCTACATTTATTTATCAAAAGTTGTGTGACTTTATAAATGTTACATTAATAGGTTAAGAGTACAGACAAGCACATCAGAGATATTTTGTAACATCGTTTAAGATATTTCTACGTGTGGTGAGACAAGTCAGGAAGACCGTTTATATCCACAAGTAAAGACGCAGCATTGATTAACCAATAAGACCCAGCAGGGGCGTTTCTCTCTAAGACTTAATCCCATTCAGCTTAGCCCAGTTTGGGGCTTTGCCCACAAGGCTTGTTTCATGCAGCTTTGCCAACCTATCCCCTCCCCCACAATATTTTCTCCTCGGGTTTGCAAACCCCTGGGAGTGTGTTGGAATTTTAACCCTTGGGGTGTTAAAACCCAAATTCGATCATGCTTGGAAGGGTACATTGAGTGTGTTCCCAGGGGGGAAGTCCCACTGTTACCCTGGCCTGGGTCATCTAACCTCAGATTGTAGAAAGCCAGGGATTCCCAAGACTGTGAGGAAAAGATTATGACAAGGATAAGCTTTGAGAAGCAATCTCTGAGGGCAGAGCCCCAAAGTGAAGCAAGCTGAAAGTAACAAAGGTTTGGAGAAAAACAAAACCTGCGCCATAATAGAATTTCAAGAAACATGAAAATTATTTCTATTTAACATAGGTACTTGCGTCTACATAAACGTACTGCTTAATGGAGGCAAAGATTTTATGTGGAAATATTTAATGTTGAAAAGGTAAATGAACAGAAAGAAAAGTTTGTATACACCCTCTTATATTCCTCTTCTTCCATCTAATATAACAAATAAAAACATTTATAAATGCATACATATATTATATATACATTTATAAGAAAAACACTGCCAGTGCTAATTTAAGTTGGAAAATATACGCATAAATAAGAAACGTTTTAAAACAGTGGTCAAGTCAGTTGTGGCTTCTATAACTAGATTGCGTCCCTGTCCTGGGCCAACAAAATCCAGTCTCCTTCAACTCCTATCCCCCTTAGATCCTGCTTGATATTATCCTCCCATCTACGTCTAGGTCTCCCCAGAGGTCTCTTCCCCTCAGGCTTCCCCACCAATACCCGGTGCACACCTCTTGTCCCATCCATGCGCGCTACATGCCCCGCCCATCTCTTTCTTCTCGACTTAATCACCCTGAGAATAAGTAATAATATTATGGCTACATTTATTTATCAAAAGTTGTGTGACTTTATAAATGTTACATTAATAGGTTAAGAGTACAGACAAGCACATCAGAGATATTTTGTAACATCGTTTAAGATATTTCTACGTGTGGTGAGACAAGTCAGGAAGACCGTTTATATCCACAAGTAAAGACGCAGCATTGATTAACCAATAAGACAACATATGATAAATATAATACGTTCATTTCTTGTTACATATACCTGAGAAGACTGAAGGAGTTTAAATAGAAAGTTTGGTTTGTGGATTCTATTACAATTTCCAGACTAACATAAAACATTTCTACGTTGTAGTGCCGTGTACCAACGTTTCAGTGGTTCTTGTTGCCTCCATTATCAGGGCGATAAACTCTGACCAGACTACACAGTACGTCGACACAGAAAACAGCCATCTTCCTGCCTACCACTGTAAAGTACCTCAGATTATATTTACGAATTTCCTATAATTAATAAGAAAATCTATATCTATGATCTGCACAGCTAACAGATTAACACAAATCAAATTGTCTGCTGGGGTTATTGATATAACTTATCTTGTATCTCTGTGTGACAGAAAGCAATATTACCTTCCACAAAGTCATGAATATTTAATCATCTCGTTATACTGTTACTATGCACGAAAAAACATCACGCACATAATCGTTCTGCTTGTTTTCTTATCTGCACAGACATCCATCGAAGGACAGCTACAATTGACTTAAGACTTCTTATTACAGACGTATGCAAACATATTAATTAATATACAATTGAAAGTTTCTTAAGCATACATGATCATTTCGAACAACAAAATACAATTTTAATTAAGATATTATTTTTATTATTTTCATAGCGATTGTTGTATATCTAGCATTACATATCTTCCCACTTTTCCGTCTATACGACATAACAAAGTAGATGGAATATTACCCACTGAGATTTCAGGTTCTCACGGCTAGTATAAAGATTATTGTCTGCTGAGGTATTGTGTCGTGTGTAGTCTCGTAAAAACTGACCAATGTTTTAGGACAAATGTCCTCATCATGAATCTCTTAAACGCCGGTTAAATTCTACGAGAATACACGATTCAGCATCCCAGACGACATTTATCTTTTAATGTTAAACATATAAGTATAAAAAAGTCTTTCTCTTGCAAAGATAGGCCAATTTAATTTTTGTGCAAGATATCGGTAAGGGATTTCCAAGATTAATTTCGTAAGAAAATTATATTCTAGAAAATTGCCCGTCAAGAACAACTGATAAATCCAAAGCAATACTTGAAACATGCTTTTTTAAAATAACATAGCTGTCTTCTGGGTTGTTGCACCGTGTAGTCTGGTTGAAGTTTACCGACGTTTCAGAGGTCCTTGCTGTCTCCATCATCAGGGCGATCTACCAGACTACACGGCGCAACAATCCAGAAGACAGCCATCTTCAAGCACACCGCAGTGAAAACCTCAAATTCTCCATGCATTTTTTAAATTAGCAAAGCAGCATATAAAAATAAAAATAAACCTTATTATGAAAACTACAGAACGTTAACACTTAAACATCCATTTTGTGTAGGGGTACATGTGTATAGTAGGAAATTATTTAGTAAAAAGTATTTCTTTTTATTGCATTTTTTAACAACGCGGCAAACAAAGATTAAATTTAAGTAATTCTGTAGAGTACACTATATTATCATCATTTGCCTTTGCTTAATTAAAGAATATAATACGATTTAACGCAGTGCAATGCCAAATATTATATTATATTGAGGTTATAATAACCGCTTTACATTGGATAGAAGCACTTATACATACCACGATAGAAGTATTTATGAATGATCAAGAATCAACACTTGCCTATTATATAGATACTAGAGCAGAGCGCTCCTTTAGGAGCTCCTTGGGGGGGTTGGTCAGGTTTGTAAAACGCAACCAACCCCTTCGGGGGTTTGATTGCGTTTTAAAATCTTGAGTAAGAAAATAAACTAACCCCCCCCCCGAATGGAGGGTTGAAACATTTGACCAACCCCTCTTCGGGGGGGGGTCAAGTTTTTAAAATGCAACCAACCCCTTCGGCGTTTTATAATTTTGTGTAAGTAACTAAACTAAACCCCCTGAATGGAGGGTTAAAACACTTGACCAACCCCCCTTGGGGGTTTGGTCAAGTGTTTAAAAAGCAACCAACCCTTCGGGGGTTAGTTTAGTGTCTCATTCAAGTGTTTTAACCCTTGAGCAAGAAACTAAACTAACCCCCCGAACGGGGGGTTAAAAGACTTGACCAACTCCCCTTCTGGTGGGTTGGTCAAGTGTTTAAAACGCAACCAACCAACCCCCCCCCCCCCCCGCGTCTTAAAATCGATCATAAAGTCAGTTTTCATAATAGTTTTCTTAATCGTAATATATCGAATGAGTATCAGTTTACCTTGTTGGAACACATCAATGCCGAGTATAAACAAATATAAGTTGACATTGTTAATGACGTCATTTTTTGACGACAACGAGGAATCACAAATTTTTATAGTAGATACCTTTAATTACATGAATGATAAACCATATCCTGATTAACTACGTAATATTTACTGGATTTTCCATAGAGGATTTTACTGTAAGTAACTTCTTACGTCATATGAAATACTTCGTCAAATTTATTTGACTTTGGAAAATTATCTATATAATCTCCCACATCTCCTAATACAATCTTTGGACATAAGATATATGTGAGACCTCCGATGACCCTTACAATTAATAAACAAAGTAATTTCTCATTATCCTTTACGATGGTAAAGTATTATGTTCTGTAACTTTCCAACACCCAACCAATATACCAGCTCACCAACGAATATCACAAAGCTGGAGGCATATCCGAAAATAAGAATGTAGAATGCTGGTGTTAAATGTTCTATAGCAAATACAAAGTACATATCTTCAGTATCTTCAATGTCAAATCCAGTAGCATTATTTGGTGTACCATACCTCCACACAACATTGAAGTCACTTATCGCTTTATCAGCAAAACCAGATTCTAAGGCTTGACTAATGATTTTGTTAAACGAATTCAATAGTGGATTATCTTTTTGAACGTATATATTTACCAGATAGTTCTTGAATCTAGAATCTAAGGAACACAGTGGTTTTACTCTCTTTGGCATTGTTTTTGCAACAAAATAATCTGCATAAATTTCTGATCGAAGAGTCGCGTAATCTCCTTTAATAATGACTCTTGAGAGACATTCTTTGTAATCAGAACAATTCTGGCCATGTTTTTCAACTTCTTCATCACCGTACAACTCAGAACCACTCGGAAAATAATACAAATGCGAATCTTTCACATAACCAAACTCTATTCCTGAATGTAAAATTTCATCAAATGATCTGATCTGGTCACTTAGACCAGGATCTACAAGTATACTCGTTAAGAACGTCTGAAACACTGTACTCATTGCAAGAGAATAACAAACAAACGAAAAAAAACACGATCTTGTCAGTGAACTGCGTGGTAAAACTGGTACCGGTACTCCTAAAAACACGGAACAGATATTTAAGAAACATCTACTTATTGACCGGTACCTGTAAGACTCCTTTCGTGAAACTAGTTTAGCAGAACCCCAGGTCACAATAACAACTAATAAGTAAACAATTACCATCATTGACCACGTAGTTTCATGAAATATACCAGCTATCCTTTTCAATCTAGGCAAGGGCCTAGGGCATGGAACATACCATCTATCACCTGTAATGAAATACGACGTGGTAAAATCTACGTAGCTTACTGCTTCTAAAAGTAAAGGTAACGATCCAATTGCAATATCAGCTTCACCTAAAGCAACTCTTTCTATACTGACAATTAACTGATCTGTATATTTCATGTCGTTAGATGGCGGAGGTAGGTAATAAAGTGAAATGTTTAGATGTTCCATTATTACGTAAAGCAGTTCGATTTCAGGGCCCTTAAATTTGTACATTTTTTCGTTATTCTCATTTGTGTATGTTTCTTCTAGTTCTACAAATGGTTCCAGATCTAATGTAGTTACCCTAAGCGGACGACTGTTGATTTTGTTAGGAATTTTGTTAGGAAACAAATCTAAGTCTCTAAATAAATTTCCATGTTTTTTCATGTCCCATGTGTTTAGTAATATAACTTCTTCTCCCGACTGATGATAAGGAAACCAAGTGTATAATAGAAGTTTGTTTCCTCCTGTCGATGTCACTGGAAATTCATACGAATCGAATTTCTGGCATGTAATGTCACATACCAAGATAAGAACATCCAAGATCATGTAATTACTCCATAGCTCCTTTAATACAGACAGCGCTGCTTGAGATGGCGACTGATTCCCAGTGCCTAATATTACCACAAGGAATCGTTCATGAGGATTTAACAATGCCTTTGTTTTCATTTCTTCAACTTCACTGATTACATTTGTTAACACATCTCCAATTTCTTCATCTGTCCACGTGTAAATTATGTAGTTGTGACGTCCGTCACTAACTTGAAGATCGTTTTCAAACATTTTGACTCCTGGACGAGAGATCTGTAGACTCCAAAGACATTTCTCATTAATGGATCTTAAAGATAATTCCACTAAATCTTCATTATCTGCTTCAAACGAGCTAATTTCAATTGATGGCTGAGCGACCACTACCTCAGCGCTTGGCACTGATAAGAGGATCGTATGATCAGTGGTAAAATGTTGGTGTATGATGGTACTAACACAATTCAGAATGTGTCGTTGTGCACTTGTGAATACATGATTGGCTCTGGTTGAGCAGACAATGTTGAAAAATGTTAGTATAATCATAACTACTTCCTTTATCGCTTTGTCCTGATGTTTTTGTACAAGGAATTTCATGGTCCCTTCTCCTATAAAGGAAATATACATTTTAGGTTAGTGCACATTTTAACAGATGTAACAGTAGGTCATAAAATGAATTATCATGTAGGTTTTGAGTATATTCGACCACCAAAGTTGCTGGTGTTTAAACAACTTTTTGGGGCATCTGTATATGCAGAACGTTGGGGCTGAGTGGCTACCACTCCCACCTCGTAATCGAGAGGTCTCTGTTTAAAATTTTGACCTGGATAAAGACTAGCCTGAGATTTTACATTGCTGTCCTCAGTTTATTCTGCAAAATGCTAGAATATTACTTTAAGATAATCCAAAATCTTTCCCTTCTGTATCCTATCCAATTATTGATTTTCATCAAATAATTGGACGCTTTATAGTCTCATCCAGTGGCATAACCAGCAAACCGAGATCATATTTCGTAAAATCACTGATAATACTGGCAAAATTTTCCTTCCTACTTGTGGCACATAAAACAATTTTTAATTTAAAAGGTTATTTTTCAAGGATAATGTTAACATGTCAATGCAAGAAACATCGTAATTAAGTTAGTTTAAGAATTAAATTCCTTCCTGTTTCGGCATTAATATAGAATTTGTGTGATTTCATAAAACTATAAAATATGTTCATAAAGTTGATCATAACAATTTTTGTTTATAAATTCACGCGTTTGTGAACAAGTTAAATAATTAAGAATGATATTCTGGTAAGCCTGTTTAAATTACGTAAATGATTTAACATATGTAATGTCTCATAAATAAATGTCATGATAACTTTTATGTATGTCGGTGAGTAATAACTCAGATGATTGTCTCCTGGGATGTAACACCGTGTAATTTGGTAGAAACTGACCGAAGTTTCAGGGGTACTTACCGCCTCCATTATCAGGGCGATAATGTGGAGACAGTACGTCTGAAACGTCGGCTAATTTCGACCAAACTACACGGTGCTACATCCTAGAAAGTAGTAATATTCACACACGCCTACTTGAGAAACTGAAATCTTACCTAGTAAGCACGTACTTATTTAATGATGTCCAGAATAACTCAAGTCCGTAACTAAGTTAATAATGAAATCGCTAAAATTCTTGAGTGGCCAAGTGCGAAACATTTTAAAAAATATTACCGTCTGGATGTATTAGTTCTTTTGATTTTGAGTGTAAAATATAACTCGCTTGTAGTTCTCTTTCCACAGAGGTTACTGTGTAAAAGTTTTACACAAATGTGTGGTACCGCGTGACGTTTTCTGCTAACGATTATGGACACTGAGAACATTACACCTCATTTTGTTGAAATATTAATTGTTTTGTGACATAACGTTATCTCTCATCTGTTGAAAATGGACGATAAGCCGTCTAAAATTAGACGACATACATTTTAAAATGAGAAACACGTAAGATTTCTTATCATGGTCTCTGAGTTAGCCATTAAATTCTCCGTCTTTTATGGAACACAAAGTTTTATTATCATGTCACGACAGGCCGCCATTGCACCATATCCTGTGGAACATGAATATGTAAAATTATAATTTTATTGTTTATTCTAATCTGTCTGGTTTTATCTTGGTCACAATAGGGACACAAAACAGATACATCATTAGAGAAAAATCACACAAATGTATTTCCTACAGGTCGTTTAGTGACTTAACTACACTGTCAGTAGCTGAGATCATATGACATAAAATGACATGATTAATGAATTTAAAATCACACGGAAGGAAGCACTACTGGCATATTTCAAGGTATTCTGTCAGCATTTGCCCGGAGGACTAAGAAAAAATAACAAAAGTTACAGTCACTATTGCCGGTCTCAAAACCGAGATTTGAACTCGCAACCTCTCGAATACGACGAAGAATTGATAATCTC